TCCTACATTTCATTCAAAGTGTAGGATTAAAAAAGGATTAATCCAAAGGGGAAGCACAATAGACCATTGAAGGTCGCAGTGCTAGGGCCAGTTTTATGGCTCACCCCCATACTCATATGTGGAAAGGAAGGAAACTGCACTTTTACCTCATATAACACAGATATTTCTCAATATTATGCAGCCATAATTCCCTTAATCTCGATCTAATGTGTAAAAATTATACACTGAAAAGCAATATTGACTCATTATAAAAGTGACTTTTATGACCGCCTCTGTGTTCCAGAGGTCCTGGGTGCGATTCCCGGCACTATCAGATTTTCTGAGAAGTAGTAGGTCTGAAACAGGGTCCACTCAGCCTTGTGAGGATAACTGAGGAGCTATTTCAAGGAAATAGCGGCTCCAGTCTAGAAAACAGAGATTAACGGCCATGGGGATCCATTGCGTTGACCACACGTCACCTTGTATCCACAAAAGTTGTAACTAACTTCGCTGACAAGTGGCAGTCACTTGGTCAGTATAGTTCGCTTGTGGACTACAGGCTATGGAGTTTTTTTTTTATTGCTTAAAATTACTTTTATTAATTGTAAAAGAATTTCAAGATGACAGATCAATAACAAAAACCTTGAGCAACTATGTTAGGTATCAGTTATGAAGGTGTACTCCTAACGATGGCCTTTTAAAAGCTGAAATATGTTTGTTCTTTGTAAGAGAAATAATATTATGTTGTAATTGCATGGCATTATTAAATACACTGAAACAGACAATCTAATCACATGAACGATTCCCAAAAATGTGACAATAAATTCAATTCTATATCCCATAAATGTGTGACAGATAAACTCACGCCAGATTTCATGTTATAATTATGTTACAGCATTTAGTGTTTGCAAGGATTCAATTTTATCACTGTATCACAAGGAATTACAGACATCTTGTTTAAGTCACAGTAAAAAAAATAGGACTATACCTCAATTATAAAACAAGTTTAAAGATGTAAACTAAACCTGTCACAGGCTTAGAAAAGTGTGTTTTCAAAATATGGTTCATATGAGAGTTATTATACATACGTTTCTCCTTTACTTGTCTTGCAGAGAACACGAACAAAGTCACTTTCCTCCAGGTTGTATTCAGTGTGTGTCTGTGTAGTAACTCCATCATGTGTGCTGTGGTCATTCACTCTAAGTATATCTGTTTTGAGACAAAATAATATTTCGTTAGGAACAAGAGAACAGACTGCTTTTACCGGTTCTCACGGTCTCATGGTCTTTGGATCCATCCTTATCTTGGCAAGGACATATATCTAAAACAATAAAGAAATTAAATTCTGCTTGCTTTGCCATTAGGTCTCTGAAATCGTTACTATCTATTAATGATTTAAAAGTGATATATTTTGCCAATGCTCACTCTATAATTGTATATGGAATTGCNACGTTGTTTCCAAATATCTGAACTGTGTCACATTTTCAAAACATCTATTACCTATCGTTATGTCATAATTTTGCGCTTCATTTTGGTGACGAAACAGCAACATATACTTAGTTTTCTCTCTGTTTACTTCTAGACAAACCTCTTTACTTGCATCAATTAAAGTCTGTGTGTTTTTCTTCATGGTATCTATATTATCACCCAGTAGATTCACATCATCAGCATAGACCAACAGCTGATGTGCCCCGTTTAAGATGTTTACATAGTGAAATAAATTAAAACACATATAACCTTTTCATAAACAAACCAATACCATACAGACATATGGATATTTAAAAAGAGAACAAGAAACATGTGAATAACTAGTTCTACCATGAACATAGGCCTACTTACATATCATTCTCTAACCTTTATCAAGACGACACCAACATACATTACACGAATATACAAGGGCTACTTGAAAAGTAACCTCTGGTGAGTTGTTAACAAAACAAGCAATGAGGTGGTAGTCGCTTAAGCGAGGTCAGGGCTGTAAGGTCAAACAACTCCCAGCTGAAATGCTCCAGCAGTGCTCAAGTGTGAGAAGCTGTATGCGAATGCACATTGTCATGGAGGAGCACTACACCAAATGTCAGCATTCCACGCCTTTTGTTCTGAATGACCCTACACAGATATTTTAGTGCTTTGCAGTACACTGCTAACATTGTGATCCCTTGTTACATGAATTCCACCATCAGCACTCCCATCCTATCACAGAAAACAGCTGTCATCAGCTTTCTGCAGGCACACAACATTTGTTAGAATTTTTTCATCTTCTTTGGTGAATGAGTGCATCCACTACTTTGACAGATCTTTGGTTTCAACATTCACAAATGAAACCAGGTTTCATCATACGTTACTCGCACAATGTCACTGAGAACTGCATCACCATCTCTGTGGTATTGCTCTAAGAAATTTAAAGCCAAAGCCATTCTCTGCATTTTGTATGCACCCATGAGCATTTTCAGAACCCATCTTGCGCAAAACTTGTGATAGCCTAGTGTAATTGTAATAAACTCGTAGGGAACAGTGCATGAAATTTGTGAAAATTCACGTGAAAGTTCCAAAATTGTGAAGCGCCATCTTTCACAAATTTTGTGGTGAACACTTTGATCAAGATCATCTCCCACTACAGATGGTCGATCACCTTGCTCTTTATCATGTACATCTGTCTGCCCATCTTTGAACATTCCATGCCACTGTCTTAGAGTTCCTTCACTCATTACATTTTGGCCATAAACTGCACATAATTCCCAAAGGATTTCTGCAGCACTCATGTTTCTACCATGAAGAAAGAGGATAACAGCACAAATTTCACAGCTGGAGGGCCTAAAAGTTACAGGACATATCATAACTCACTCTGCAGAGACAAGAACAAACACTAAGTGATCAGTGATGTGATGGTTTACAAGGCAATGAGTCACGTGACAGAACTGAAAGTATGTAATTAATGTAACATTTGAGATTCTCACAGCAGTGGTTATGAAGGGTTCTATCTTCCACGATATAACGCCATGTAGTGCATTGAAAGCCAAAGACATTTCGAAGGAAAATATTGCCACCATCTTCAGGGTCAAAAAATATGCTGTGCAAGAAACTAGCATGAAAGCAGGTGCCAAGCAAACCCACAAGTTTCTCATTTGGCTTACTCTTTGACCCTGAAGATGGTGGCAATATGTTCATCCCTATTTCAATAAGAGTCATTTAATAGTAACCTTCCATCTATGATTAGGTCTTCTCAGTTGTCCCCTAGCTTCAGCTTTCTGCTAAAATTTTGCATGTATTTCTCAACTTTCCAGTGCATGCTATATACTTCACACATCTTATCATCCTCAACTTCATCACCCCAGTAATATCTGTTGAAGAGTACAAATCATGAAGTTCATCATCATGCGATTCTCTCCTTCTTCCTGTTAATTCCTCTCTCAGATCCAAATATTCTCCTTGGCACTTTGTCTTCAAACACCCTCAAACTATGTTCTTCCCCAAGGGTTAGTCACCAAGTGTTACGATATAAACAAGAGGTGAAATTACAGTTTTGTATACGTGGTGCAGTCCAAAAGTTTCCAAAATTTGAATTTTACGTGCGAATGGTTATAAGTACATCGAAATACCGCTAGGTATCCCCTCACACATCCTTCTTGAATCAGTGTGGCAAGCGGCGTCGAGTAGAGTGGTTGGGTTTATTGTTGGTGAACGTATTTCCATTGTTGTGTTTCCGTGAGTTTGCGGTTTTGCGATGGCTGACTTGAGAGAGCAGCGTGTCTGTATAAAGTTTTGTTTCAAATTTGGGAAAACCGCTGCAGAAACACGCCAGATGTTGAAGCAAGCTTTTGATGAAAACAGTTTACGCCAGACACAAACTTACAACTGGTATAAGCGTTTTAAAAATGGCCAAACATTGACTGATGATGACGATCGTTCGGGACAGCCGTCAACAGGCAAAACACCAGAAAATGTCACGAAAGTTAGGGATCTGATTCTGCAAGATCGTGGACTGACCATCCAAGACCTCTGTAACACCTTGGGACTAAGTTATGGTACATGTCAACGAATTTTGTCAGAGGAACTGAACATGAGGAGGATTGCGGCGAAGTTTGTGCCACGACTGCTGCAAAATGAACAGAAGCAGCATCGCTTGGAAGTCTGCAGGGAACTTCAGCAACAGCTTCAAGAGGATCCAAACTTTCTTTCGAAGGTTGTCACTGGTGACAAAAGTTGGGTTTATGGCTACGACCCTGAAAGCAAGCAGCAATCGTTGCAATGGAAGAGCCCTTCTTCACCTCGGCCAAAAAAAACAAGAGCAACATTAAGTCCACGTTGATCTGTATTTTTGATACTCGTATTGATGGGACTGTTCATAAGGAGTTCGTCCCTCCTGGTCAGACAGCCAATAAAGAGTTCTATCGTGATGTTCTAAGGTGNGCGGAGAACATGAGGAGAAAACGTCCAGAAAAGTCGCGCACGAACGACTGGGTACTCCACCATGACAATGCACGACCACATATGGCTTACGTTGTGCAGGAATTTTTGGCTAAAAACAAGATGGCAGTTGTTCCCCACCCACCGTACTCGCCAGACTTAGCTCCATGCGACTTCTTTCTCTTCCCCAAGATGAAAATCAAGTTGAAGGGGCGAAGATTTGATACAGTTGAGGAAATTCAAGCAGAAACACAGAAGGTACTAAACACCCTAACAAAGAAAGACTTCCAGGATGCATTTGAAAATTGGCAGAAACGCTGGGATCGGTGTATGCGCTCCCAAGGGGACTACTTTGAAGGTGATGGTGCAGAATAAGATCTAGGTAAGATGTAATAATTTTTATTTATATAGATTTCGGGAACTTTTGGATTGCACCACATATTTTAATCATTGCATTCTTAGATAAGAATTGAGAAGGCAAAAGCTTCTGAAGTGAATAATAGTAAGTATGAGTATTTCCCAAATTTACTCTGCCCTTCCTATGTTTCTGAATCTAATTTTGATCTGTTATGTCACTCTCACATATTTGATCTTTGTCACACTTCTGAAGGACTTTATAGTGTGACTAATTAAAGCATTCTGTTGACGAGACATGAACTTATTTATACTTCCATTATACTGCGGTATCAAAAAATAGTCACTTTGCAACGTCCTTCAGTTAATAACACACCAACTTCACATGGTAGTTCAAGTTTTAAAGGTACCTTCCACTTTTTGTATAATTTCAGTACTCTTTTAACACTGCTAGGTGCTGCTCACGAGTTTGAATTTCTGATAGAGGTTAAATGAGAGGATACTGTATGCCCTTCCATTTGAACTGACCTGTAAAAGCACACTGAATGTCGCCATGCCTTGCCCGAGCCTCATCTGTGATGAAGACAGTACTCCCATTAACTTTCACCCAGTCAGTGTCATTTCCACACTGAATTGGAGGGACCGACTTAATGAACTTCATTATCTCTGGACTGTTCACCTCCAAATGAGGGTGTCGACATGCCTGGCCTCCAGCTCTGAAATTAAAGAGCAACATTTAGAAACAAAACAAATATGCACAGAGCAATTCAAATTCGTCCGGTCAAAATTTTGGAGGAAGTTGCAGTAATTTTCAACAGAACATGTAAATAAACAGTTGTTCAATTTACCACTGTGTCAGAGTTATGGAACCTGAAATTTTTGGTATTGATTTCTTTTCATGTGTCCATGTGGTGGAGTCTTCACTGTCACAAAACAAGCTCATACTACTTCTGCATTTGCTTATGGCTCACATTACTTCTGATAGCAAAGTAATGACAACAGTAACCACAGCAGCAACCCAAAAGAAGTGTGTATGCAATTGCACACCGAAAGATGAGGGAAACAGGAGTATTCATGCTGCATGCACATGCTAACCACAGTGAATGTAATGTGCAGAATTAAGATGAAGTGGTAGACATAAATTCATTGATTAGCAACTGTCAGACTGTATGAGAAAAAAGCACCTCTCTGATTGCAGTCTGATGTACACTGCAAGAGCAGTTCCATGCACAATTTGTACAACAGCTACAGCGAGGGAACAATAACTTTCACCTCCAGTTCTGTCAGTGGCTTGTAAACAAAACTTTCATTGAACATTACTTTTCATGCCAAGTACTGTAGATTGATGTGGCAACATTCACTAAAAGTGGAGTAAACAAGCTACACAAGCCACATGAATAGGCACACAAAATCCTCATACTATACAATTCTCTAAATTTCAACAGAGATTTAGCATCAACATTTAAATTGATATCACAGACTTGACCACACATAACGGCAAACTGTCTCAGTGAAACCCAGTAAACTGACTTCCTCAAAAGATTTTCCTTTTTATTACAGAATGTACAAAGTCAGCAACCTGCTATAGACTGGATGACCCGGATTCGATTCCCAGCACTGCAAGACTTTTCTGTTTTCCACAGCGTGCAGACTGACTCTGGGACCCACCCATCCTCTGTCCACTGGGTACAGGAGACTCTCTCCCTGGGGATAAAGCAGCTAGGGCACGAAGCTGACCACTCAGCACCATCTACTGCCTATATCTAGAATGGTGGAACTGCACCTCCACTCCCTCAAATGTCTTCATGGCATAGTGCTTAACTGATTAAGCATATGGACAACTTTAACTTCTGGACAATGAACCCCTTAATGTTTTCAAGGGCATTAGGTTTCAGAACAACACCCCTCTCCACTATTTACACCAAGTACATAATTGGCTGAGCAACCAGGCATAAGGATCCTATGGGGATCCAGCATCTGCATTCTCCTGATATGAATCCACTTTATTTTTGATATATCAGAGAAAATGTTTATGCTGTGGAAGTGCAAGATTGTGATGACCTGACCAGTCACATCCTGGTAGCTGCAGCAAACATCAGGGGCAAACCTAGAACACTGGTTTGCACAGTGGACTCCATCAATGTTGCTGTGAAGCATGCACACAAGCCACAGGAGGTAACTATGAGCAGTTATTGCAAAAAAAATTGTGTAGAATTGTGTGCAAGTCCCACAACAGCATCAACCATTTATGTTATACGTAATGGATACTACAAACTGAAAACAGCTAATAACCTGGTTATCCCTGCTTCTCATTAATTGTATTTAAATGTAATAAACAGAGACATTAAATGTAAATAACTGTATGTACACATAAATGGGCAAGTACAGTGGATTCTGGTTAACAGGGCCATTAGTTAACTGGGACAAATCTTGAAGAACAAATGGAGAACAACCAGAATTTGCTTTGCTTATTTGGGACACTGTGCTGTTTAATTGGACTGGTAGCTGTCACATAGCACACTTGTGCTTGCTACATCATCAATGAGTCACTGGCTCAGCATAAATGAACACCTACCTACATTTGCTCTCAGTCTTGCAGCAGTTGTGTTTGTCAGTCTACTGTGACGTGTGCATCAATTTTTTTAGTTTAAAGTTTCTTATTCCTACAGAAATGTGCAGGAGAGATGTAACACTCACTGACAAAATTCCCTTACTTGAAAAAATTAAAAACCAACTGCCAAACACCAGTCATCACCAACTGGCGGAGATAACTGGAGTGCCAAAATCTACAACTACATGCATTGTACAGCAGGGAACCCCCTCCCCCCCCCCACACCAAAAAAAAAGAAGAAGAAGAAGAAGCATGAAGGTAAGGATCCTGATGTTAGGTCCTCAATCAGTGGTTCTCTGTCATAACTGAAAGGTGTATGTGTCAGTGGTCCAGTACTCAAAAACAAGTGTCAGAGGAGTTAGCTAAGAGGCTGGTTCATAATGATTTCAAAGCAACAGATGGTTTCTGTGGAAATGAAGGTTTGGGATACAATTCAAGAAGGCACATGGTGAGAAGGGCAGTGCTGATCAATGGAAATCCACACAGCTGCTGAAACTGCTCCAGAAATTTTGTGCAAATGATATCTATAACGCCCATGAAACAGCTTTATTATATCGTGCCATGCCAGACGGTTCTCTAAGCTTCAAACACAACACAACCCTATTTGGTTCAAAGAAAGCAATGGGTCATGTAACTGTGTTGTGCTGTTCAAACATGTCAGGAACTGATAAACCGAAGCTCTTGGCTACTGGGAAAAGGGATAAACCTTGGTGCTTTGAGGGGATTAGTATGGATATTCCCAGTTCTGTACTATGCTAAAAAATGTGTGGATGACATATGACCCTTTTAAGATATGGCTATTGAGTTGGGATGTGGAATTACAATGGAAATCAAGGAAAATTTGACTGGTTCTTAACAACTGTGCAGAACACCTTCATTTAGATTCTCTGAAAAATATCCAATTGGAATTTCTGTCTCCCAGCACCACATCCTTGGTACAGCCAATGGATATAGGAATAAAAAAATTGAAGAGTTTATATCCTTGAAGCGATTCCAGAAAATCTACCAAGATCTTCAAAAGGTAAGGAGGTAAATGCAAAGACTTATCTTTTACAAGCAGCATAGTTTATTGCCAATAGTTGGCAAAGAGTAAGTACCAAGACCATTCTGAACTGCTTTGCTCACCGTGGTTTCTAACACTCACACTTGGAAATGCAGAATATGGCCAAGAGTGAAAATGATGTCTTATTACAAATGCACATCAGAAATTATGAAGAGTTTTCATGCACCTGCAACAGACTTCAGTGTTATCATTTTTTTCACACATTTATTATACATAATCTGCAGAGTCTACTATAAATGTAATGTATATGTTCGGTAAGTACTGGCTTGTGAATTAGTTATCTAAACACTTTATTTTCTGAATTTTGTTACGTGCAGCTTTCATTATATCTACATAGTACAGACAATAATTTCATGGATTGGCTGCATAGTGGCGCTGTTATGCATTACAGTGGATACATGGAGCTACGAGATGGTGTCATGTCCGTTCTTCTCTTGTCCCAGCAAGAAGTTGTGTATGTGTGGTATATTCAGGAAGAGAGTCACTATTGTGAAGGGTAGTTGTCTGCGAGCAGCAGAAATCGAGAATGTTGCAGTTTGAGCAACGGGAAAACATCAAGTTCTGCCAAAATTAGGCAACTGCTAGCAAAACATTTCAGATGATCGAGCAAGTGTACAACAAAGAAGTCTTGGGCTGCAGTGCTGTGTTTAGGTGGCACAAACGTTTTTCAAAGGGGAGAGACAGTTTGAAAGATGATGAGCCAAGAATGGTCAGAACTGAACTCAAGATCCAAGAAGTTGCAATGTTGAAGCCAACCGCCCCCAAATGGTAGATGAAATCACAGAAACAGCAAGGATTAGCCACAGTACTTGCCATAAAATTCTGTCTGATGACCTGAACATGTCTCGTGTTACACAGCAAAGTGTTCCACATGTCCTAACGCAAGACTATGACAATTACATGAACATTTGCAGTGACCTGATCGATAGTGCTGACAAAGATGGGACGTTTCTCAACCGGATCATAACAGGAGAAGAAACATAGTGTTTTCTATACAATCTGCAACTGAAGTGACAATCGGCCACCTGGAAAGCACCATAACTGCCAAGAAAGAAGAAACAATGACAGGAAAGGTCAAAAGGCAAGGTAATGCTTGAACTGTTTTTTTACTCATCTGGAATTGTCCACAAAGAATCCAGCCCAGAAGGGGTGACTGCAAACAAGCACCGCTACAAGATCCTTTGCCATCTACGCAATTCAATTCGTTGTAAGGGTCCTAAGCTTTGGCGCAGGAAGAACTGGCTGTTGCTACACAACAATGCCCCTGCCCATTATTCTGTGCTTGTCAAAGAGAAGCTGGCAAAACAACAGGTCACCGTTTTGTCACACCCTCCATATTAACCTGATCTCATACTATGCGATTTGTTTTTCTTCCTCCGCTTGAAAGAAAAGCTACATGGGCGTTGATTTCAGTCAGCTGAGAAGATTGTCACTGCCACAAGGGAAGCTGTATGGGACCTTCATGCAAATATCTTTCTGCAGTGTTCCCAGCAGCTATACCAACATTGGCAGACTTGCGCAGCTGCCAATGGCAACTATTTTGAGGGAGGATGTGGATATGTGTAAGTGTATATGGGTATCTTGTATTATGGTGTGACAAAACCACAGTCCACGAAATTATTGACTATAGTGGTATGTTATCAACAGTACAGTTTCATGCAGTTTATCTCCACCTAAAAAAAGTTAAACTTTAGGACTCACGAGAGTTTTCTCCAGGTCTCTGCTGATGATGAGTGGAGCATGAGGTTTATCTGCTTCCTGTTAGAAGAATCATCAAAAATGAACATTTTAATCTATACATATAACAAAACAATTACAGTATAGGTCAGTGAATCAGTTTTTATGAACAGATCAGATGTGGAAAAATACAGGGACAGCTGTGACAATAAATCAGATAATGCATATATACATCTAATGAAACAGAAACTGATGCTAATAAGGTGTTGAATGTGCTGTGCAACCCCTCAAATATTTCCAACTGTGGATAATGTACAAATGTAAAATAATTCACCTGAAAGTTACAGCATTCTATTTGAATAGCTGCTTAATGGGTTGGCAGTCAGTGTGTTGTTAATCATGCATTAACATAAACAATCTGTAACTGTAATAGGTGCAAACAGTTCATTTCTGTTAGTCTTTGCATGTTTGTTCTTGTCAATGAACAGGAGTATTCACTGTGTTTGAATGCAACCAAAGTGAAACAAAGTACCAAATAAGATGTGTTACTTTAGAGTTACACACAAATGAAAAGTCTAGCACACACCACAGAAAATTCAGTTCTTGCCCTACACACTGTTTTCATTTAAAGAACAATCTGTAAAGGACTGTGTATGACTTTTAGTTTTGGAGTAACTTAAAATAGAAAGCGTCCAGAAATGATCAACACACTTGGTGGAAAATGTGTTTCAAATTTGATTTGTTTCATCAGTGTCACCAACTGCTCTATAGAGCAGCACAAAGATGAAAAACTAACTTCAAGACAGTGTTGGATAATGCATTTCTTGAACTATGCAGAGGATAAAGTACATATAGTGAATCTGTGAATTATGCCTTTTATGCAGGGCTCTGTACAAACAGGTGGATAATTTAAAAAATGGCTGTGAATCAACAAATGAGATTCTGTATACCTCTATTGCTCCATATGCCTTCATGCTGTGATGTATTTAATCACAGAGACAAATTTACCTTCACTTAAGCTTCTGCAACTGAGAATTCAGAAGAGCATAAGCCAAACATGGAAATAAATACCAGTGTTGGCAGTATACAGAGCATGAGTCCCCTTTGAAATTCAGAAATGTCTCAGTACATGCTGCATGTCAAGGGATTCAACTGACAGGAGGCTAGCTTGACCATGTATTAAAGAGCAGCAAAAACAATACATGGAAGAAGAGTACTATTTTCTGAAACAGGCTGTAAAGTGACAAAACTATGAATACATCATAATGTGAGCAGCCTAGCATGCCATGGCACCATTAGAGAAATTTAAAGTGCAATATCAAAAGGTAATGGCATGGCAAGGTTTTAATAAGACAGATTTTCTTGAACAGCAAGTCACAAACAACACCCACTATTACAGCTGCCATATCGTGTTCTTAGGCCAGCCACATGCAAATGTCAAGTAGAACTGTAATAAGAGGTGTGATACTTCTGCATAAGAATGACTTCTTATTCAGCCATGTGACCATTAAGACTCTACGAAATAGCACAGGAAGTCTTGAATCATTCATCCTTCTTTCCTTCATTGACCGACTTTACAGGATGCTAATTCTAAAGAAATAACAAATATGGGGCTGTTGTTCTCATGAGGATACAAAACTCTAGTAAGAACACTGAAGCATCCCAGCACTGGCACGCAAAATGCCTCCCTGTACCAGGGCAGTACATAAAGAAGTGAACACAGCTTCAGCTGTTTAAAATTTGTATGGAAACAAAATGCATGTAAACCACCATTTACAATTTCATAGTTACACAAAAAATTTCAGCAAAACCAATGGGCTATCAGCTGACCAGTCATCATATAAATGATGTTCAAAAGCATATACGAGTACTCCATGATAGAGTACACAGAACTTCCAACAGATTATTTATAAAATTCATATTTCAAACAGCATAATAAAGCACAATACTGATTTACAAACAAATCTGTGAAAAGTTGTATGGGCAACATGAAAAATCTATTTATGAGTCTTATGTAAAGTAGGGTTTGTATCAGTCAATATAGCTATGAACAACCATGGCCAAGTGAAGCTGTACAGAGATACTTGATGTCAAATTGCATCACAATTTCACTGATGGACTATGATATACAAAAACATACATTTATGGTCCTATGCCAAGTAGGCTTCATTACAGAGCAATATGACAGATAAAACAGCTGGATAATGTTACATAAAGAAGTCTCATATATTTAATTTAACATATAATTCAAATTTGATATACATGAAAAAGTTCATCTATGACTTCATACCCAGTATGCTCTGTAATCATTTAATACAGTGAAAAATTAAAATTGTCAACTATCGTTATGCATTATCAAAATGTGTATGAGTGTGTTTGGTCCTTTTTGTATGTTCCTTCTACATTTGTTTATACAGAACTCACAAAGGTATGCTAATCCAAAAAGTGACATAACTACTTTAGCATAAAACTGTAATAAACGGTTTTATTGACTACAACAGCATTTTCTGCCAAACACAATACCTGATGGTCCTCTTCTCCTCGTTTAAGGAATGACTAAAGGGTACAAAAAGGGTCAAAACACCAACTCTACCCGAAACTGAATATCCCTTATCCCACATAGGAATAAGTCTTACTGAACTAAAGCATAGTCTAGACACACAACACAACAGGAAGAGACTTCCAGAACCACAAATTACAGGAGCACATAGATGGGGCTATACATCAAATATTGGAATCACTAAACAGAAGCACAGCAGTTGCCACGAACAATTCTTAAACACCTGATGATGACCAATGTTGGTCAAAACATAAAGTGCAATATACAAGAGCTTTTAAATAAGGTTAAAAGATGCACTGTATGTATGTAACAAACTTTTAAATAAGTTTTAGCAGGACATGTTGCATGTAAGACAGCGAACCAGCGACTTTTGTTCAATAAGTGATGTGCAACAGGATGCTGCAGTACAATATTATGAATTAAAGGAGTTCCACAGAAGTGAAAGGCAGGCCATGTGTGACCTGCAGGCCAAACCGTATTACTGACTTAATTCAATACTATCTTTTTATAGACTTCCATTACAATATTTTGTAACTACTTGCTGTGTGTGCAAAATTTCTTGTATAGGGAAGCTTTTTCTGATGATGTATGAGACAGGAGACCTCCACAAATCATTTCACCACAATGTTTATATGAAGTGGCACATGAGAATAAAAATTAACTATCACTGTACAGTACTTCTTTTGGCTTATTTTGGACTTCACCCATCGTCTGGTATGTAAAAGACAAAAGACCACGATGTTTCAGAGCTAGCTCTTTCTAATGGGCCCAACTGGGTAGGTTTATCCTTCCCTATCCACCTGAAGACAGAGACAGATCCAGTCTCTAAAACGTAGTGGTCTTTTGTCTTTTACATACCAAACGATGGGTGAAGCCCAAAATAAGCCAAAAGAAGTACACTATACACCATCGTCAGAATCCTTCCAAGTCTATCTATCACTGTACAGTTACAATTTCATTAATAACTCTTAACTGCTGACCTAAAATGCTATTTTAAATATTTGCTTGCATGACAAAAGTTCCATGGGATACACTGATGATGCTCAAAATGTTCACTTCAACAGGCATACTGAATTATGCATACTTGCATATAATCAACAATTTTCTGTTTTGTAATTCTCTATTGCATGGTTACTTTTCAAACTACATATAATTTCTTCAACAACTATTCTTCCGGGTGCCTTTGCTGTGTTGGTGACAATTTTTTTTGTCACTAAACTTCCAATTTATTTTTTCCAGCAAGCTTCTAAAGCATAAAACTTATGAATTTCTCTTTTATATTTTCATTACTTACTTTTAACACTAATATCTACTGTCTAGCATTTATCAGTATCTACTCTGTACTATTTATCTCGCAAAAATGGTTCTGAGTTTAAATGCCAAGCAGTTTGTTACCTTCCTAAGACATGACACTGTGTTACTTTTTACTAGATAATTCTTGGAGAATAAGTATGAATGCTTCATTTAAGTATCAGATTTGTTATTTCACACCCTCCACAGAATGGACAAAGAACAGACCTGTACAAAAACATGACAACTGCAGTGAAAGAGTTAATGATGTTCTTGTCTCCCACCAGAGCACCGCTCTCTGACATGTTCCTTTAGATCACATTCAATACGTTTTACATGTTTTTGATATATGTATGTATTAATTTTCAAGACTGCAACCCCCACATAAGGCAAGTCATCTCTAATTATTTGCCTCTGCATTTATTTCTAGATCAGCCTTCTTACAAACATCTAAGGGAGCTTATATTTCCTTTGATATATTATGTATGTGAAATTAAATCAACAAAATTAGCCTCCACATAGAACGGCATCCTAGGACAAGCCTCCACATAGAACGGCATCCTAGGACAATGTTCAACACACAAGTGAAATATTTTGGATGTTCCCTCGCAAATCCATGCGTCAAGTGAGTTTACATAAAATTAGGCCTGCCTTACTCAAATGTGCATAAGAAACAATAACTGTGTACTCACAGGCTTCAGATGGTCCTGAAGACAACACATACAGATTAGGATCTGAGAAAATAGTTTGCTTTAGAAATTATTTCCTGCATTGAAGAGGGCAAGATCTAACTCAACAGACTTTGTTTTCTGATGAAGCAAAGTTTTATATGTGCGGAAAAGTCAACAGGCACAATTGACATGTAAGGGGAGTCCAAATTCTCATGAAGTTACTAGAAATGAACATGGTTCATCAAAGGTTTGGTGTGCTGGGACAAAAAACATTAATAGTCCTTTCTTATTTGCAAAATCAAGGTGATTAGCAAAAAGATCCCATCTATGACAGAGGACACTGCTTTGCTTCACATTCCTGCAGGAAAAGTTTTTCAGCTAGATGGTGCAACACCTCACTTTTCAAGTCATGTTTGTGCCTTTCTCGATAGGGAGTTTCCTGGCTGTTGGAGAGATATACAAAGTGTTAAGTTCCCCCTAATTCTCACATCTTGCTCACTTAGATTTCTTCTTGGGGGTTGTAAGGAACATTGCTTATTGAGAAAAGGTGAATGAGTTGTGTTAAAAATGTTAGAGCTGCACAATGTGTTACCAATAAAATGCTTGAAAATATCTTGCAGGAAACTGTATATAACTTTGAAGTATGTCAGATCATTAACAGTGCCACACTGACAACTCAGCACATAAAGGGACCTGATGAGGGCAGTGTTTGAAAATGTATAACTTTCTCCCATACACCTAGCAGCCAAAATTATATCATGTTAATATAAATAATAAATAGCAAACTCCTTGCCCTTGCAAATCACTGTTAACTGCTAAAGTAAAGAGTAAAATGGAATACTGTACTACATAGATAGAAAACTAACCATAACGCACTCACTAACTCCACACAAGAGATATATTCTTAAGTAGCTAATAATCACTTGACAAACATGACTGACCACAAGGGGCAGGTCCTACTCCTCACTCCTTTCATGACACTGTCACCATCCCTTATGTGACTACCCTTGTATTATTCCATTGTAAAATTCCATCGATCCAATCTAGGCTACAAATACGCCTGACGGACATAGAACCAGTCATAGACAAGTAACTGAAATACACATGCTATGAAAATAAGCACAGGTCAGGTCAAACAATAAACCAAACTGTTTATCTTCCTACTTTAACATTAAACATAACAACATCTTAAATTTAATATTGCAAAAAATCATCATGCCAAAAGGTAGATGATAACATATTTATGCCAAAATAAAGCACCTATGATACATAAAACCTTAAAAATTCACATTAAAATTAGTAATTACTATTAAAAAAAATCCTTCAGTGAATAAAAATAATTCAATAGAAGGTAGTTTTTTAGAGTATTTTTAAATTGATTCTTATTATCAGACTTTTTTTTATGCAAGGAGGTAAGTGATTAAATGCCTTTATACCTATATAATAAACACCATTTTTATAGATAGACAACCTTGGTTGTGAAGGGTAAAAATTATTTTTACCTCTGGTGTTGATATCATATAACTCTGAATTTGTTTTAAATAAGGAGATATTATCAATTACAAAAATTAATAATGAAAATATATACTGAGAATAAAATGGTAAAATAAAATGGTATATCTAGTTTCTTAAACAACTCCCTACAGGGCAGCCCTGTAACAGGAAAGAAAAAAATAAATATTGCCAATGACCAAACTCTTCAGATATCACACGGACTAAGGATGTATGATGTGTAGTCATCATGAATTTGTAATGTGTGACATGTTTTATATCCAGGCCTACAGGGAGATGATTGGATCCATGAAGTGAAAATAAATGTAAATGTAATGGGGTAGGATAATAAAAATTTAGTCATTGTCCCCTTTTATCCAATCCTGGGAATCTGGAAATGGATAAAGGGAGACTTCATTCACTCACTAAGCAAAACTCTTTTCTCATTACATCCATATATTACAATGCATCTATAATTAAATAAAAAACAGAGACCAAAACCTCCCTGCTCTACCTCTTGTTCCTAGCACAGATAATTTCTTTCTGAATTTTCAAACAGCATCATTCCTTTACTTTTCCCATAATGCAAAATGTATAGCTTCATCAGACAATGTACCACTTACTTTAGGTTATGTAGCACTGTTGGTACAAATTTGACATTTGTTACGCGTAAACAAGAAGTTGTATGCTCTGATGAGGTTAGGTAGGATCAAGTATTTATGGACCAAAAATCCCAGCAAGCCTCAACTGGCAGACAGCTCGCAATCATCTCTTGTCACGTATTGGGCGTATGACGCGACAAATAACTTCACGCCATATTTGGTATAGCGAATTTTATTTCACATTCGCACTTACAATCACCCAAATTACAGATTCACAATTACTGCTATCTGCAGTATCACAAATACTACACTCCAAATGCCAGAATGCAACTGACTGGTTGCTGGCTAACTCGGAACTCTCTCGGAACTCACTCATAGGTAGCTGCCTTGAGAACTGTTGATAACACACTGACTCTCACTTGCTGCTCAGCCGGCTTTTATTCCGTTCGCTGTTGCTAGGGTCGCCCGCCACGTCACAGTAGGAAGCGGTATCGCGTCACCGTGTTTGTGTATAGCCTAGTAACGCTGTTACCTCGCGCCTCCTTACGTCACCGGGCGTCGCGCATTATGTCACCGTGGAGGGGGGGGAGCACTACGTTACCGCCACGTGCCGCTGGGGAGGTAGGGGTCCTCCGTTGCGCAACATGTCACAATACTGAAAGGGCAACTCAACCTCACACTACCTGCCACAAGTATAACAGTCTCTTGGGGTATTACATGCAAATTCTGTTGAATCCATAGAATTAAGTCAGTCTTATGTTAAAAGTTGTGGCAGCCAATACTAATTCAACTCTTTGGTGTAATAATGCAAGTCCTTACATAACCTTGCATCACTACAGAGCCAGCTGAATCCAGTCCACATACTGTCTTTTAAGATCCAATTTAATATTATCCTCCCATTTATGCCTAGTTCTCCCAAGAGGTTTCTAAAATTCTGCATACATTTCTCGATTCCTCCATTTGTGCAATTATGTGTCTCAACAATCTCATTTTCCTAGTTTGATCAACCTAAAAGTAGTGGTAGTTTGCACTGAGTATAAACGAAAAGATCCTCACGCAACTGTCTGCATTCTCCTGTCATTTACTCCCTAAGACCAAAATGTTCTCCCCAGTATCCAATCTTTCCTCCAACACATTCAGTGAATGTTTTCAATAGACTTATCCTTCAACTGCACTATGGCCCTAGGGTCAACTCAGACTTTAACAGAAATGAGTACCGGGAATCTCCTTGAGTGTAAAGGGTGGCTGGCACATAAAGCTGACAACCTCACCAATGTATGTTTTATTGGAAAGATGCTACCTACCAGCTTGCATCCCATTCTAAAAACCAGCAGTAAGAGGCCACAAATCAAGGAATGAACCTCTCTGTACAGTCTGCTGGCACTGTCATGACACAGGAGTTGAGAGAGCAGAGGAAAGCTACAATGGTGTCTTAGTGTCTTAGGTTGGAACAGTGGACAGACCTTGAGTGCTCCACGGAAATTCCAATGGATGTGGTTCAATATCGAAAGCCATTTCATGCTCTCAGTTTAGGTTACAGAATCACCCAGTATGTCCTTCTACTCCTTTCCTAACTCAAAGAGTATCATACAATTCTTGCTTTTCTTGTCTTATGCTTCAGCTAAATTTAACCTGCATTCTACTATACTGCATATAATGAGTGATCCTTACAGCCTGGATGTTCTGTCCACATCATCAAAGTAGCCACCACCCCGCTGCAGCCGTACAATTTGGAACACTATAAACAAACATCCCACTAGTAGGAATCCATACATAAGTCGACGGATATGGAATGTGAATGTCATGCTTGACATTAATTTTCGCTGGCCTGAAAAAGAAAATAAAGTTTTTACATTATTACATAAGTTAGAATTCTCAACACTAATGCACATATAACACAGATATTCAGCTGGATTTAATGCATGAAATGAAATTAATATACTTTTGTAATTTATAACTTTTCTTTCACTTGCTTAGCTGGTAAATAGAAGGGATTCAGAGGTTGATTAAGCAGTTGTCTTCTTTTCTTATAATTCATCCTGACAATTATCAAATTAAACCATAAAAATTCATCTGGTCAGTTTACCTTTGAGAAGTAAATTTAGTAATGCATATTCACTAAATTTTGTTTTAATAAAATAAAATACAGGAAGCCAAAATGAATCAGGCAAGACTTTGTAGATATCTCACTGCTGGTCTAGACATAGATAAGAAAAAAGAAGTACAGTTTTTTTTTTGTTTCATTCTGGTCCGTCACACTAACAATTACAAATATAAATCACTCCGTCCAGCACAGCAGCCACGAGCAAACCCTGGAAGATATAAAGAACCTCCACATCAAGATAGACAGGTGGCACAATATCTGACCCATACAAGAGGGACGATGGGAGGACGAACACGAGCCTGCATGGTTTATGAATTTTAATTACTGACAATGCAAAATTTTTAATTAGCATCAAGAAATTTTAAATAATTTTTAAAAACTTTACATTCCCAGGAAACTGCTGTGTTTGTGAAATGTTCTATTTTGTGTACTATGCACTGTAACATATAAGTGTACGTACTTTACATCTAAACAACTTATGTGAAGGTGGTTTCCTGTTTGTAGTGATGTTTGCCCTCTGAAGATGGTCCGCAGAGACCGCAACATATAAGGGTGTTAAGTTTTTCATGTAGTAATAAACTTACAGGTCACATTGGACGGAGTGATTTATATTTGTAAGAAGTACAGTAGTTAAAAATTTGCCGAGCTCCATTCAATACAGTCAAATCCTGACAGCTGTAAATGATGAAGTTCTGCCAAAACAACTAGTAAATAAATAATCAGTTATATATGTGGGATGTCATTATATGAAGAGACAAACCACTTGTTGAACTGTTCTATAATATTTATTACAGTTGCGCAGTATACACAGATGAACCTGAATTGAGGGAATTGAAGAATAATAATACCAATAGTGAAATCTGTAACACTTTGAATGTTGTATTGAAATGCAACGCTGAACTAGAATTCTAGAACTGTAGAACTGTAGAACTCTAGAACCGTAAACGTCCAAAGTCAAAGTCACATTGCAACTGATGGTCAGTAAGGTCTGTCTGTCTTGGTGTCGAGCTGGGGCTCATGACCAGATGTTACTTTTTAAATGAAAGTTACTGTCCTGTCCATGTGGGGCGCCTTCTCTGACGAGAAGATGGGTCTGTGATTTGTCAGTCATAGTCGATAGTTTTAATCGTTTCTTGCATCCTGTTGAGTGTTTTAATCAATAGCAGAGTGAATTTACCGACTATACAACACGTTTTTTATTATCACATTATCACTACATGTTTCAACCTTAAGAGGTCATCTTCAGGTAAAAATTATTATATAATAATAATAATAATAATAATAATAATAATAATAATAATATTAATAATAATAATAATATTAATAATAATAATAATATTAATAATAATAATAATTTTAACCTGAAGATGACCTCTTAAGGTCGAAACATGCAGTGATGTGATAATAAAAAACGTGTTGTGTAGTCGGTAAATTCACTCTACTACTGATAGTCGATAGTATCAGTCCACTGTCACTATGTACACTTACAAATGAGTCTTAATATCAAGTATGTATAATACTTACAAGGCCTCTGTCAGTCTAGGCTCAGTACAGCAGACTATGCCCTATTTCTAGTAGTATTTGCTACCACGGCAGTTTACTCACTTGAATGGTTGTATGCCTGACCTGTAAACTTCCACTTAATGTATCTTCTTATATAACCTAGAGTTGGACCTACAGAAAACATGTCACTGTCAGTACTGTTGTAGGCTTTGCCTAGAAACAGATGTTTACTTGCCATTGCTAAGCAATGATACTTGTGTTGTCACTGTAACATTTGCTTGAATGTTGGCAGTTCCCAAATATACATTTGGTTATAAACTAATGTTTTAGCTTAACTGGCCATCATCAGGCTATTCTTACATCTGTTATACACATGGTTATTGAACAGAGACTGGGTGCTGCTAGCTACGTGATCTCATGACAGACCTAGAGGAATTACAGTATTTTTGCTGAGATAAAAGAGAAGCAAATGTGTCACCATGTCAACAATTATAGATTAGGTTTAAAGTGATGAGCTAAAGTTGAAATAAATGTTTCCATGTCCGAAAGCTGATTAGAAGTTACGTTGTAGGTGTGCACTGTGAATCACTCTGATCACGTAACAACTTTGGTGCAGCTGCTATTTCTAGATGCCTAGTGTGCTATCAGGGATGGCTGCTGAGTTTAAATGATACTGGAGAATACTCGTGGTACTGTGTTGCGGCCTGAGAAGTTATATCTTGTGTTTGTATCTGATGCTGTATGTTAATGTCATTTTGTACAGTCCACGGGGACTTCCTTGGAATATTTCTACTAGTGTTCTCTTGATACCTGGTTCTTTGAGGATGTGGGTTGTTCTGTGTAGGTTATAACTACAGTTGCAACACTTATTTCTCTTGGTTTTTCTTTCATACATACTGCACGGTATGCATTTCTGTTGTTGATCTTGCTGTTTGTAAATGTCACTGGTTAAAAGGCCTGCATGTAACTGAACCCTTCTCTGTAATATCAGGCACATTGAATTTAACAGAAACCACTCCAACATACCTAACCTGCTACTGAACTAATATTTTACATAGTAACTAAACCTCAGAACATAAGAAGTGAGTAATGTTAGCAATAATGATGTTTGCTTCAGAGATGTCAATACTTCACACTACAATGCATTCAAGATATCCAGCATTTACACAGCTGTATACACTGACAGGCAGAAATTTTAACACTTCATTCTAGGGCCATCACCTAATTACAAGCTCTTAATGTTATTCTCTGCTTTTTATAACAGCTTCCTGTCTTTGCATGTAACATGTATGAAACTTGTAATGGACATAATTATTACACATATGAATTGAATTTCACAATTGCTGTTCTTCTGACTGATGACTCCCTTTTTGCTACAACTGTACCACAGAGGACTACAACTCCAGCAACGGTCTGTAATTCATCTAACACCATGAGAATCATGAAGAACTGCAAATCATGAAACAAAATTATACATTGAGCCTATGGCTTAGTACCCTGACACATTTTGGGCTTTTACATGAACTTCATCTAGAGGATAATAAGATGGGGTCTCATGATGTCAAGATCCTCTATACACATTCAATTCTACTGCCCATTCCTTCTCTACATATTACATAAGCAACGTATGCAAATTAATTTTCAAGGTCCTGCAAGGCCCAGTCAACGCAGTTCTCCCGCACAACCTACACAACCTGATTTCGTTCCTTAAGACATAAATACGTGTAAAACATAACCATCTCTCATCACTCACTTTCTACACGAAACGCAGTCCAGTGACAGTCGCCAACACCACTTCCAACCCTTGACTCCATTTAATCGCCTCCTTCTCTTGGCATCCCCCCTCTGCCTGCGAACACTGAACGGTTTGATGACCACTTTTCAATAAAAACATGGATAGAATATTACGTGGGATCATGAAATATCGACAAACGGATCGCAAAAAAATGGTTGAACAGTTTGAAGTTGTACGGAATCGCCCAGAGGTAAGCTCTCAGCATTAATAATGCACTCGAAACTTTATTATCTGCCCTTACAATGACACTGAATAATGTACAAACAGCTGATTGCCAGATCGGAAAGATTCGATCTACCACCTTGCGCATGCGCATTTGTGAACGAAACACGTTACTTAGAAAAATGTCTGTTAAAATATTGGATACCATGTGGTAGCGTGTGCCAAAAGACCTACATCGTTAACTCAATTCTGTAAAGACTAAACTTGCACAGTGTGCGCTGACCCTATTATTATTAAATATTGGGGATTTGAGGTTCTTGTAGCTGTGGGTATGAAGAGTTTTATCGCCTGGGATTAACATCATGTAGTCAGTTGAAAGTCAACCGACATTTAGGAGTAACATGTCGTCCCCGTCTTTAACGTCGAAGAATACACCCAGATCTGCTTGCTACATATTTCACCCTGGTTTTTGTTTGGCGTATTCATGAACCCTGTGCATGGAGGGTGACATATTCCTCCGAAACATCGGTTGACTTTCAAGTGACTACACACCATTATATCCCTGACGCCCCTGACGCTAGAACTCTTCAGTTTACTTACATACTTACTTACATTGTATGTTGGCACACTGAAGAAAACTAACGTAATTTTTTCAATAAATATGTTGTTTTAACAGAGCTCTGTATTCATTTAAAATATCACATTTAGATTACCCTTGGACGAACAATTCATTTCATTTCATTTATTCACCTTCCATAAATCCTGTCGAGAGTACATTCTCATGCGGATGTGGAGATGGTCCTTGTTACAGTCACAACTAAGGATTACAGTTGTCATCCAGTAGCATGCACATTTGTATAAAATACTGATAAACATACACAATATAATAAATAAGTTAATTTTAGTAGCAAAAGTAATGGCAAACGTTATACAATTTGTACAGTTTTATGCAAGTCTGTTAATTAAAAATTCAATAGTTAAAACATAATGTCATTAACGAGTTTTGTATAACATACATTAATTATATAATAAATTGAAATAAAAGACTAGTATACAGTAATATAAAAATTGTGTATATCTAAGCATCTAAAAACCAGAACACAGACTGACAACCTTGTCTTCTTTTAATTGTAAAGCAAGACAACTACTCACACCTTAAAAAGATTTATAACCAAAATATTCCTGTAAAGAATAAAAAGAATGTAAATATAAAAATTGTTTTAATTGTACCTCAAAACTCTTAGTGTCACTCGATATATCCTTAATATATTGTGGTAGATTATTATAGAACTTTGTTCCTAAACAGTAAACTCCCTTCTGGTATTTACTAAAATTTACAAGAGGCTGATGGAGATTATTTTTCTGTCTGGTACTATGAATCTCTGAATTTACTATGAATTTGTTTCTATTTTTTATCACAAAGAGCATAAGAGATAGTATATACTGAGATGCCAGAGGTAAGATTTCTAATTCTCTAAATAATTATTTATTAAGTTCATAAAAATATCTAAAGTTACAAGTAAAAGTAAAGCTTTCCCTGGCCGTGAAGGCCCATAGGGTTGTGAGACGTTGAGGGTCCCACATTATCTAGACAATCGGCTCAAAGATGGCGGTAAGGTTGTCAACCTTACGCGCCGACCACGCTTTACTCCCCAGGAAAATTATTTAATTAATTCCTGGTACTCATTTCTGTTAGAGGCTGAGTCAACCCCAGGGCCATAGTGCAGCTGGAAGGATTAGGTCAATTGAAAAAATCCAGTGACCTCATCGGGACTTGAATCTGTGACCTTCCGGCTTGTAGCTACTTAAAAAAATTACATGAATTCATTAACATGTTCACAATAGATTATCAATAGTTTCTGCCATGACCCACATGAATCCTGCACACATCTTCCCATCTCGATTTTAAGATCCATTTTAATATTATCCTCCCATCTGCTCCAGTGGCTTCCAAGTGCCCTGCACACTTGAGGCTCTTCTGGCCAAAGTTTCATATGCATTCATACCCTTCCCATGCATACTATATGCCCCACCCATCTTGCACTTCTTGATTTTATTGTTCTAATGATACCTGGTGAAAAATACATTTTTTTGCACTGGCTCTTTCAGGCCTACCTTCAGTCATTCCAGGTTTATACCACAACTGTATCTTCAAAAGGTGATGACCAGTTCCTCTTTAATTCTTTTCAATTCAGCATATGTAATCATTCCCTAGTTTTTTATAACACTTCCAAACCTTGCAGTTCATACAGCACCCTTAAAGGACCTAAAGCTGGTAATATGGTGATTAAGATGATGTGGTGGTATATGCCAGTTCACATTATGTAAAATAGAATCCTTCAGTACATTAGGCATTATATACATTCCTCATAGCTCCTTGCAACAAGTGGAAAGGAAATTGTATATTTTTACAGTGCTTGCTAATTGTAACATACAGTTAACAGTCAATGTTATAAAATGAATTCTACTTCCTTCCAGCCAAAAGCTGTATTCTTCACTTGTATGGACAGTAGAATGATTCCAACTCGTTTCACAGAGACCAATGTAGGAGATATGTTTGTTGGTGAGTGTCTTTATTCTCTTCAGGACTTTGAAAGAATAGAATTCTTTCATCAGACTCTCGTTAATGAGCTATGTGTGTCAAATATTAGAGATACTAAGTGACCAATTGGTATGATACCCTATGTCACCATCATGACAGTGAAGACCTTCCCATCTCAGTGCTTTAAATTTTTTGTGCGTTTGCACCTGAGGTGGAAGCAACACCATGGCTGATCTGGCCAAAAAACTGTCACGAGTGGTAGGGATACTTGTTATGAAGGGAGGGCCTGTTCGTCTACTCTACCATCCTACCTGCTGAGACCCCATTCCTATACTACAACAAGTAATCCAGCCAATAGGAGTGGAAGATTGGGCATAGGTTTAGGGAAGTGCTGGAGGGGAGGATAGACAGAATGAGGGATGATCCATGAGAATTCTTTGCTTGGCTCCACCATAGTGCCATTATATGTGTATTCATAACTTTTGTAAGATGATAAATGTTTGAAAAGCACACAACATTTATTTATAATTTTCTTTTATATCTATATCAGATTGATGTTTAGGTTCAAGACAATAACTGTGAATCACTCAACTTGACCTGTTTTATATGGTAATTAGTAATCTCTTATAGCCTGAAAGGGCCAATCCTTCTGATCTCTAGAACACACCACACCAGTGAGAAATGCTTTTAATACACTGTTAAAAATTATGATATGCTGAATATGCAAGAACTTTTTTTTTTGTTGCAGTTCGTAATGCTGGCAACTTGATTCCTCATTCACAGCACTTCCTAGATGAAGCAACAACAACTGAACCAGCAGCATTAGAGCTAGGATGTATTGTGAATGATATCAAACACATAATAGTTTGTGGACACTCAGATTGTAAGGTAAATGTGATTAACTGAAGACTGGTATGATGCATGGGTGTCTCTTTCATTTCATTTCATTTCAGTTATTTCGTGTCCATGGATCATTATACATGATATAAGACATGTCATTCTTGTGTAGTTATAGTATAATAAGTTTCATGATGTTACTATTGAGGGGGGGGGGGCTGCATGTGAAGCATGCAGTGCAACGTGGAATTTGGGTACCAACTCAGCATTTGCTCTGGGACCAAGGAAAACCACGGAAAACCTTGATCGAATTGGCCGGTCACAAGACCTCCCAGATACACTGGTTTCTAGCAGCACCACTCCCACCGCCTCGGCTCCATATCCCATAGTCCCTGCTGTGTTTTCTCTAAAAGTGCATAGGGCTGAGTATTATGCTTGAGTTGTCATATCCGGAAATAATCTCACATCATTAGTAATGAGAAACCATCCTCGTCCTATCTGGCAGAAAAGTCATAGTTACAATAAATGCAGGAGGGAATATTTGGATTCCCATCATCCCATTAATGCAGTTCATGATCTTAGTTTCCAGTTTGACCATGACTACCTTAATATTTCTTCTCAAGTATGAATATTTTCAAAAACTGTTCCTTCCACAAAAGTGCAAAAAACAAACATGATTAATTATGTTTACTCTTACTCAAACGCTTGTACTTTCTTCTTTCTATTGGAATGAAATGTATCATGCCATCTGTTACCAGAGATGTCCATTGCTATGCAATAGCTCAGTAAATATGCAACAATAGAAGAACTTTTGGTGGCAGTGTTTTCTGCATGGCCCATGCTGAGGCTATATAACAAAGGCCACAGGCAAGTCAGTCAGCAGGAACGTTGGTGTCTGAAGGCTTCCAGAGCCACCAGACAGTAAAAGATGGCCATGAGTCCCACTGAACTCAGAACCAAAAATGACTGTGCTGGTGAGGACCAGCAGCAATTTAGCAGTTAGTCAGCTGGCCAGTCAATCAGTCAGTTGGCATTTGATGGATACCAGTTAGTTGTGAGTGAGCAGTTGCAGTTTGTGGCTCTCTATTCATTACATTTTGTTGTACATCACGTATAATTCACGATTGATTTCCACAGCACTCATGTTTTAGTATGAATCAAGTGTATAACAGCTTGAATTTCACAGCTGGCAGAATTATCAATTGCAGGACACATCATAACTCACTCTGTAGAGGCAAGACAAACACTAGGTAACCTGTCACATGATGGTTTACAAGGCAATGAGTCATGTGACTCTACCTTGCGTGCTCAAGCTCTCCCCTGTTCCTACATTAGTTGCCTAAAATAAATGGAGGTTGCTTTATGAATAGCCCTTACAGTTATCTGCAGGTATGAGTCATAAACATTCGATAATCAATCTAAACCATGCGTCTGGTCACTAACATGTGAAAGACTGATTTGCTATCTGTATCACCTCTGTTAAATTCATAGTTATTTGTCATTTGCTTAGGTCTTGGGCATTAGTCTTATGAACCCCAGGTAGCAATGAACTGCCAGTTAATCTTCTGCTTTAAGAAAAAATTTGACTGATCAGATGATTGCTGAAGGAGCAATGTCTGAAAATGGTTTGGTACCTAGAAGGTGGAAGGATGAGAAGAGTAAATTAATATAGTATCCTGGCATGCACCAGAATGGACAGAGTGAAACCACAATAAGGGCTTACCATCTTTGGAGCTTTGCATATAAATTTTATAGTTGTTAATAGAATCTATCATGTTAGTTAAAAAAAAGCCAATAACGACAACAATTGACTGCAGGTTTAATTTTACCTGTTGTTTTGTATAGATTTGAAACTTGCTCTCTTTCATTAAGGAAGAGCATAGATTGAAGGTGTTTGAGAACATATACCTGAGGTGAATATTTAACCTTAAGAGGAGAATGTGACAGGAGGCTGGAGAAAATTGCATAATGAGGAGATTCATAATCTCTACTCTTCATCAAATATTGTTAGTATTATCAGCCAACCTGGCAGCCTGCTAGGTGGGTTCCATAAAATATGGGTAATTTCTTGACAAGCTGAGCTACTGTCAGCTTCTTGAGAAGGATCCTGCTTCATGAAGTTAGTTTAGTTAAGTGAGTTAAGAGTCTTATGATACAGAACAGAGTTCTTTTTGTAACTTTCTTTAGAATAGCATAAAATACAGCTCTGCGCTAGAATGATTTAATCAGAATAGAAACAGTGTTTTTATCTTCATTTCAGGCTATGAATCTACTCTATTCCTTACAGTGTCAGGAGTTTTCATCACAGAAAAACAGACGCATTTCACCTTTACGAGCGTGGCTAAGTGCCCATGCATCTTCTTCTTTGTCAACATTTCAGCAGCTTGAAATTTCAGGCTATCAGAAACCACTCATCTTTCAAGCAGAAACTCCAATGAGGAAGTTTGTAGCCTATATAGATCCTGAGGACAATTTTTCTGTTGCAGATAAACTTTCACAGGTACAGTTACAGTAGAACCAGGAGTATATTAACTAGTGATTTCCTTATCTCGAAGTAACCGACACTATCCTATGCACCACAACTAATTTTCAATCTTTTTTGAGTCTGCCTCTCTGTCAAAGCTGCTGAGAACTAAACTGATATGGTCCACATCATTACTTCATGGATATGAAACTGCTTTATTGATGCAATGTGTAGATTCAATTACTGAAACAGTACTCATATCTTGTTCTGGAATGTACAATACCTCTTGTCTAAATATGCATGAGTAAATCAAACTAAGTTCATCCTTTTCACATACCGTATTTACACATGTATAGGCCGCACATTTTTTGCCAAAAAATTCAAGAGGAAAACTGGGGTGCGGCTTATATTCGAAATATTCGAAATCACACTTCATTTAAAAAAATTAACGTTGCCAAATTTCGGAATAATTTCTACTCCTGAAATAATATTCCAAGAAAATTATTTTTTTCTATAATTTCTGTCTGAAAATTGTGCTGCGGCCTATACACGCACGCGGCCTATACAAGCATAAATACGGTATATAATTTCACACCGATCTATATTTGTACATTTAAAGTAAGGAATGTGTTTCTTTGTAATTAAATATAAGAAATCTGATTCCCACGTTGATGGTTTCAATTTTGTATAAATTTTGATAGGCTGTTTTCTAGTAACATGAGAAACACAGATATTATTATGGGAATACTCAGAAGAAGTCGATAATGCTTTCTGCTCTCTTGACTCTCTTTCATTCGAATTGTCATATTATACTGATTTTTCAATCATTATTTTAATATTGCATAGCTTGAAATGTTTTAGAACACTTTTCAAGGCATATAGTATTGATTTGATTGGATGAAATTAATTAAGTTTTTTATCTTTACCAGTATCTCCTGTTTAACCTTAATTAATGTATAGTGTCTTCATGAATCATATAACTTAACCACCACTTTTGTGATGGTAGCAGTAAAATTCTTTATATTTAAGGATTAAATTATGATTCAGTTGCTGCAATAAGATTTAGTAGTATTAATTAAAAACCAGAGAACACTTGGTATTCTCTTGCTGAGTAGGCTATTCCATGTCAGGTGTGTGATTAGTTTACAATTGAAGAAATCTGCCTGTAGATAACTGAGTTTCTTTCTTTAAGTTCTTAAAAAGTATTGCTCATTTTTGTATCCACTGACTTATATGTTGTTACATCATGATCTGTGGCATGTACTTGTGATGTGTTCACAAAATGCATGCCAAGCCCAAGGGTCTTCATGTGTAATATCATCCATCGTTTTCTCAGGACAGCTATACTTCTGTGAAATCAGTCGTCACTTTTACCTAACTGGCTTTGCGGTAAGTTCGCACCTTCATTTTTGCGTGAAGACAGAGACAGAAACAGCCTCTGAAATGCTAAACTCTTCTTCAATCCAGACATTAAGTCCAAAAAATATTTCCATGATTATATAAATTAAGTTCAATTGCATGAATTAAGAGAAGCTTTCCAGACAAAACTATGAGAAATCTACTTTCAGTTTTTCAGCTCTGTGATCTGAAATCAGCTTCTATTGAAACATCATCTTCTTGTTCTTCTCCATGAGACTGGAATCCAGCAGTTCTGGATTTATAATTTTGTAGAATGGAAAAATTATTGAGTAGAACAAATTTACAGAAACAATGATCATTATTAAGCAACAATAATTCTTCAGACTGAAAGATTTTAGCAATTACAATTATTTTTATCACTGAGAAACTATCTCATGGCAGTATTTATAATATATTATTCAGAGATGTGAAAATTTTAAATCTTATTATTGGCTGGACTGTACCAGGACAGTCCAGCATGGTGTCCTTGTGCTATTGTTTCATGAAGTTGTGTCACTTGGGCACTTCTTTGATAGCAAATTACTGTTTTAAATTAAGCATAAAAACCAGTCATTATTAAATGGCTACTATATTTGGTTGACAAAAGAGCTGTGTCTGTATTTAACAACTCATGGAGCAGGTACAGAGAGGTAACAGCCAGAAGCAAATTACAATACAATTGAGCTACCCTCTGCTAACATGAGATTTTGTTATACTAGTCCATTTTCTCTGTGATCTGATCCCTGCACATGATGCATCTCACTTGGCTTATTATTCCTACTAATTTTCTCAATTTAATATTTTTTTTTTTTTCCCTTCTTAAAACCAAATTTTCTTAAGAATGTCACATGTAGGTGTGACTTACAAGACGGGTTTTGGGTTGGATGATTGAATTTATTGCACTTTATACTTTCACACAATTTGGGACTACAGATAATACAGCGCTATTACCATTCTATGCACTTCCCAGTTCACTGTTGCTCATGCACTAGGATTCTCAGCCTTCACTAGTCATAACCAGGCAATGGATTTATCAGTGTCTCACTGTAACTTCAAAGCACAAATGAAGTCTTCTTTTCAATGTCTAATTCCTTTCTTGCCATTTCTTCTCAATCACCTTTGACTGCAATCTCCAGAACTTTACTCAGTTCCCCTTTTAGCTTTATGACATCCTCGTTACATAGCCTCAGGGTGGATTTCATGGAAAACACCATCTTCTGTTGTTGAGGAGAGTGTTTACAGCTCCGTTGTCTAGCAACACACGTCCTATTGTTGCACGCGCATGTGTTGTGGGAACGTGTTTATTGGCCCATTGCCTAGCAATGAGTATACATGTCACAATAACATACACCATTTCCTGAATTGTATTTCTAGATTGTTTTTGTTGGGTTTAGTTGCTGTATGCATAAATAACGCCATTGTAGATGGCAAACCGATTTTTTTGTTCTATCATTGTATGCTTTATCAGTCATAAAGTATCATCATATGAAATGGCTGTGCTGTAGGTTGCGGTCAGAAAGGATTTATTTGGCACTGTCCCCCTCTTAGTCACAAGTGAATGTCACTGGCTGTATGTACTTCCTCCTTCTCCTCCTCTTCCTCCTGCTCTCCTTTTTCTTCCTCCTCCTCCTCCACCCATTCTCTACTTCCTGGCTCCTCCTCTTATCATCTCCTTGGCACTCTGTTGCAGCCAGACTGTAAGTGGGCTTGAACATGGACTTGTGTGACATTCTACCTTACAGCATCACAATAGACAGCCGAAGTGATGGTGTTCTCAAAAACTTCAAATATTGTGCATGTGCATGGTTGCTGGGGATTGGTGCTTACCATGACTCTGGCTGGTAATGAACATCTCCCAACATCTGTGCAGTTCCAAGCATTCCAAAGTTCATGGACTTAGAAGTCCTATCACAGTATGATTGCCATCCTAGTTCAGGTTGGTGGAAACCAAACACCAATAAGTTCGACATTTTTCATCTGACATGTTTGTAACACTTCCATACATGGTAAATCTTCTGTGTAACTGTAGTTAATACATACTGCATAAACGACATCAAAACCTCTCATGGATTCTCATAAAGGCAGCATATATCATGTATTTCTCCTGGACAGCTAATAATCTGTAAGAATATGTTTCAGGTGAACTGTCTTCAGCAGCTCCAGAATATTGCCAGTTATGGATTCCTCAAGAGGCGACTTGAGACACATGAGCTTCACATACATGCTTTATGGTTTGACATCTACACTGGTGATATATATTATTTTAGCAGACAAAACAAAAAATTTATTAATATCAATGAAGATACATTCAATATGTTAGAAAAAGAAGTTCTAAAATATTATTCATGATAATGGTATCAGAATTATGGTTATATATGCAAATTACAATGGCCAGCAATGCCCAAATCCCTCTTAAAAGTACAAAATCGCAAGTGTGTGTCCATCCTTTATCATTATCTTCTGAACACAGTATGAAAAGAATCAATCATTAAAAAGAACCTTATTCTGTGGTTGGAAAATAGATTCCAGAATATTTTTAATTTACAACATCTGATTTTGATACACACTTCAATTTCTCCTCAATTAATGGAAAAAGAAATAAAAACAAAAAGTTCCTGAATTCACATTCCATAATAATAATAATAATTCAATTCAGTTCCTTTTGATAAATGAATATAAAGAAAATAAAATAGAAGAAGTATAATATTAAGGATTATGTAAAGGAAAGGTTTCTTCCAAGGAAAGAGTATTCCTTCTAAAAACATTCTACAGTTAGGTTTATGTTTTGTATCCTGTTGTATAAATAGATTTAGGGTTTTGTAAGCCATCACACAACGTGTTCATTCTGTTATGTACAGTAAGCGATTGAATTGAGTATATCAATAGGTCAATCAGTTTATTATATTAAACATTACATCTTTTGGTCATGGTTGACCACCCTCAGGTGTATACGTACATAATCATAAATATATTGGGCTATATTGCTGAATATATAATCAAAATTTATCCATTGTGGCCATATAATTAAAAGTTTTTCAAAGAATATATTGAAAGTATGAAAATTATTAATTGAATAACGTGTATATATGGCATATGAAATGTGAATATATTGAATGGTAATAGGGAGGTGTGTTTATGTTATGTGTGAATTTACATATTACTATTTATATATTATATGTAGCTGATATGTTAGTACTACTATAGTGTGGTCGGAATATCTTCATGTTTTGTTACATGTGTCCAGCTCATATGTATATATTTAGGAACTGCAGAAAATGTTGATACATAGTGTTGAGAAGGTTTGTAGTATTTCATATGGTCATTGTAAATCAGTATGTTAAGACTAATGGATTTCTGTGAATATGAATATTTAGTGTGTTGGGGGTATAATGCACCATGGTTGCTTTTTGTGAACTTGATTTTTTCCTGTTTGTAGCATGTTTCCCAGTGTAACTTGTTTCAGTAGTGGTAGATGACTTTACTATATGACCAAAATGGGTGAATTTTGATTACATATTGAGGAATATAACGCCATTTATTTATGATAATATATGTACACATCTGAGGATGGTCAACCACGACCATAACATGTAGTGTTCAATATAATAAACTGATTGGTCTATTGATATATTTAATTCAGTTGCTAATTATATATGTAACAGAATCATGTTGTGGAACAACATAAACACCCCTAAATGAAACAGCATATGCCATGAGTAGTGTTGGTCTATTGATATATTTAATTCAGTTGCTAATTATATATAACACAGAATCATGTTGTGGAACAACATAAACACCCCTAAATGAAACAGCATATGCCATGAGTAGTGTTGGCACACCTGGCTGAAGGACTAGACCTCACATTACTGCCTACAGTAAAAATGAGAAATTCCCTGATTAATTTACCTGTTACATCAAGACTGACAGTATCTGTGATGGAGTTACAGCTTATTTTCTCCTTAAAAGCACTGAAAAGCTAGAAAGCATCAAGATTCTGTCAACTGGAATAAAGTGTTCTTCATGCTAACCATTCCAGAATAAAGTCATAATTTCAAGAAATATCAAGCTGATAAAGTTAACTGTAACATGAATTTTAAGAATTTCATTTCATATTTTCACGTTTGTTGGAATCAGCCAATGTAAGGCTATTCCAGGCAACCAAAGCAGGGTCCAGAAGACCACTCCTTCCAACTTCAGCACCACCAGCTATGAATTGATAAACAGGTATACCAATGCTTTGTCACAAAGTCATACTGTTACCTGTTGAGTTTACTGATAGGTGCCTTGTGTTCAGAATTTTTCTTCTAGAGAAAAGAAACCTTCAGTATATTGTCAATTTTCAGAATCTCCAAGTGCACCAACCACACTGACAGTAGAGTTGGGACGTGCAGCCTGTAGTTATGGCAGTCAATATTAGGCATATTTATGTCAACTTCATCCTACATCAGTTTCAGTCTCTTGTATGGCAATCTCTAAAGCTGTTTTACTGAAGAGATCACATAAAAATTGCAACTGATCACTGACAATGTAAAAACATAAACTTATATGATGAATACAAAGTGAGATTTATTATCCCCTTATTCGCAGTCAGTAGAGCATGGACTATGGGCCAGTAGGGGCTAGAGATTTTTCTCTTCTCCTCAGCATCCAGTCAGTCCTATTTAGTGGGTGCTTGGAGCTCTTACCACAGGAGTAGCACAGCCAGAGCATGAAACTGACTACTTCATCTAGTTTCTGAGGTCAAGAATGGTGGAGCTGTACCTCTACTAGTTCCCCACTTTTTTCATGGTGTGGTGGTGGTAGTAGCAAGTAGCAGTAGTAGTAGTAGTAGTAGTAGTAGTAGTAGTGGTAGTCATGTACTTCTATGAGATTTAAGTGTGTTAAGCTGACAAGAGTGTACAAGTCAGAATTTTTGGGAAAGTCGAATGTGTCTAAATGTTCAATTTATATGATTTGTATTTAATTGTAAGTTTTTCTAGTTGTGGTTTCCAGTGCCTTGATTTGTTGAAACCAAGTTACTAGTTTTTATACACTCTTTACAAGACTTTCTATCCTGATGCTTTAAAAAAACTACCGCGAATTAAATACAGCGAAACCCCCAAAACAGTCTGGATCTTGGATATTCTGATGGTGTTATGATCATTTTTTTAATCCTAAGGATCATATTTTTCGTGTTATTAATGAAAAAATATCAGTAAAATAAAATTAAAAGAAAAAGAACGAATACTGAACAAAATATATTCAGTTATCATATCTATGCTTTTAAATTATTTAAGATGGAAGCACGTTGTTCAGATATCACTGACACGTCAGTTGGAACTTTCACAGAGCGGGCAGCTCGTTCCCAGAACGGGAGATGCGCTTCTTACAAGCTGCTCCGAGCAGAGGGTTGCGCGAAGCAGGCCTACATGACGAATGATCGGTCATGTCCATCTGCGAGATATAAGGTTCTCACGGCAGAGACTATGAAGATTCCTATCCTCTGGATTGCAACTACAGTTACCAACCTTTCGAAAGAATATACTGCCCCCACCTTCAGTCTGAAGGCTATAATACTAATAACGTAAGATTATTAGAGGAGAAAGGGTAATATGGAACCCAACTTTGTCTTTAGTAATATATCATTCGGTGTAGTCATAATTTTTACTAATAATACTAATAACGTAAGATTATTAGAGGAGAAAGGGTAATATGGAACCCAACTTTGTCTTTAGTAATATATCATTCGGTGTAGTCATAATTTTTACAGCTTACATATAAATATGCAGGAAATGTTATTTCATTTTCCTATAAATTATGTACATATAAGAAAACTAAGCATTCATCACAATATATGCGTTTTTCTAAAAACAGGCAAAGAATCCTGTTCCAGAAATTGTGCCGGTAATTTGGAACCCACAGAATGCAAGACATTGAAAATGCTTTCGAAAGTCGGTAAGGAGCAATATGATAGTAATTATATGAACTGATTAGGAGTGGCGTGAAATAATAGATAATGTGACATATTCGCTCAAAGCAAGAATTGTGGAGTCACAACAATCGATCGTTACTATGCAGCGGCCCATAACAACAGAGGAATGATGTTTTGTGCGCAGTCCATGCCGATAGATGCGCACGCAACAACGGAATACGTCATGCCATCGCTAAGTAACAACTATACTGCAACAGAGGAATTGTGTTTTCTATGCAGTCCCTGCCGAACTTGGCGATGGTCAAATTTACGACCTTCCAATTGACTAAGCTGCCGTTGTAGCATGAGATACGTAAGATAGACATGATCTGCTTTGCAAAGCCTGTACTGACAGAGGACTAGTGTGTAGTGAGAAAAGGAAAAGTTTTCAGTAATATGTTATATGAGCATTATGTGCAACTGACGAAAGACCAAATATTCATAAGAGACAACCCCATCTTCTCGTCAGAGAGGATGTTACATAAGGACTATGACCGCAAGAGTTCAGTTGAAAATAAAAATCTCTGGTAGTGAGTTTCAAGGGGCTTGACGCCAAGACGAATGGATTGGTGGTAAACCGCATGTCGTAAAGTAACTTTGACTTTGACTTTTCCCGGTCAAAGTCATAGCATTTAATGCAAATGATAATTGGAGGCGGCGCTATGAGCTCAGTAAACCGCTGCAAGACTTAAATATAGATGTGGCTCTGCTCTCAGACACATCTCAAACCCCAACTCCAAATTATTGTTGACCGCCTCCCGGCAAGAAAAGGCATTCCCCTTAACCATGTAAACCTATGCTATAAGTGCGATACGTACACTTGACAAAGAAGCAGCATATTCATAAGAGAAACCCACATCCTCTCGCCAGAGAAGGTGCTACATAAGGACTACGCCCGCAAAGGTTCAGTTATTATAAAATCTGGTCTTGAGTCTTAAGGGGTTTGGCGCCAAGACGAACTGACTGGCGGTAAACCGCCAGTCGCAAAGTAACTCTGACTGACTATGACACAAGAGAAACCCCACGTGGAGGCGGGTTCGAATACCTACACCGTAGCCCTGCGAATCGTAGAAGGCGGCGAAAGGAAACCAGTGCCTGAGGGTATAACTGGGCCACCCTGTTCTTGGGTGATATAAATACGGGGACCTGGCCCTCCAGGTCGGGGAATTCTCGAATCTGAGACATTAAAATATGGTCATGAGTACCACGGGACCCGGACCCGAGAATGACTGCGCTGGCGAGGGTGAGCAGCAATTATAAACGACAGATACGTCCTCTTTTCAAAGAGGGATTTCCACATCAACAAACCCGCAAATGTCTGACAGTAATAAATATCTGCTCTTAGGCCCCAGATGGGTGCTTGACACTAAGACAGACTGGCCGACTGACCATCAGTCGTAACATAATTTTGACTTTTAGAGACTGAAGTGCGTGTGGAGGCGGGTTCGGATACTTCTACCGTAGCCCTGCGAGTCACAGGAGGCGACGAAAATGGAGCCCAGTGCCAGTCAGCTAGACAATAGCTGGGGTCCAGTTGTTGCGAGCTGTTGCTCTGAGAAGCTGATAGCTCAGGCCGGGGACAGTTCGGGAACACAGAAGAAGGGAACGTCCACCGTTAAAAGCCGCTACCAAGCAACGGCTAGTCAAGAATGTAACAGACTGAGAAGACCTAGTGTGTCGAGAAGTATAGTATCGAGTTGTATAATTGTGCAGTAAATCCGATTACCAACCCAAACCCCTTCTATAGTCACTAAAATCGTGACAATAATATACAAATCCATGATCAGAGGGAAAAATATAATTCTGAAGTAACATCATCCTAAAAGAAAAAGACAGTTTACAATATCCAACCTGCTCTAGCGGCAGAAGTGACCAAATTCCTTTTCAAGCCCCACATATCTACTGTGGGACCACAGTTCGCAACTCATGCACTGAATCCACAGGTCCCCTTTACGGTCCTCAAGAAAAACTGGGTCACAAGAAGTAGAAAGAAGAGTGGAAATTAGAGTGTTTCTCTTTCTGAGGTAGCTGTCCAACAGGAAAAACTCATGGATGAATTAGACCCACTCGAAATAATGACGGTGCCTGCAACAGCATCAGTTTCTTCTACATGTGTACTCATACATTGGGATTACGGGCGAAGGACCGGAATGCCGCTACCGCAGCCTCGACTAGCTGTGCCGCGTCCTCAAGCTTGAACATCCTTGTATTTCAGATGTCCTTTATACGGAGATCCAGTAACCAGCGCTGCTAGAGAAGCCTTCCGTCGTCTGGCCGATTTATTTTTATTAGGTAATGACATTATCCAGAATTTCCGAAAGGAGGTAGGAGGTATGTTACATTAATTGAAGATGAACCAGTACTTGAGGTAATGGCTGAGAGGCAGTTACGTAAGTATCTGAAGCAGCACTTAGGTTGGCTGGCCGCGTTTCAGTTTGTTTGGATACCGGACGATCTGATTCAACGGAATGGGAATCAGTGAAAACTTCCTTGTTACAAGATTGTGTACTAGGTTTCCTGTAACTGTTTACTGCCATATTCCCTATTTGTTAAAGAAGATAAGATTTTCCGAAGATGTCTGTAACGTCGTGCGGACCAAGGGATAGTTCTCTGATGCGCATCCAATGAAGAATATTTTTATTATAGTATTTCTTCAACGGTGCCATTAAGTTTCGGTTCAGAGTTTTCAGTCGGGGGGCTGCTTATGTTGGGTGGCTGGCTATATATTTACGTGATTACCTGCAGCCAGCTCAATCACATATATTGCTATTATGGCTTTAATGGTGTAAATCATAAGCAAAATTGGAAAACTTGTGGATATTTTTGTTTTCTGCAGGAGAGCCCTGTGAACAAATGCATCTGTACCCAGCCTGAGGAATGACATGTACCCAGTGCGCAGGAATTGTCTCTTTTTATAATCGTTTCCATGGTATTTATTCTGAGGAAATCATAGTAGTGGTATAATGCAGCACCAGCACTTACTGATCATGTGACAGTCATC